CCCTCCTCCTGTCGGTTTCTGGCCTCCTTTGTCCCCCTTTTCCCCATCCCACATTGTCTTCTGAACCGCCATAGCGTAAGTAAACGACATTTTGTCTAATGGGTAGCTTCCTCCCACTCCCCCACAATTGGTCCCTTTGGTCCCTTTCCTCCTTGCACTAACTCCTGATCAAGCTCCCTATCCTATTCGATTCCCGATCCGATCAGGTTCCCAATAGCTCCCTCTCACTCGCCCTTAACTGTTCCCTGCGCTCCCTTTCCCTTTTTTTCTCGCTCCCCTTGCACTAGCTCCTGATCCAGCTCCCGATCCTATCTGGTTCCCGATCCGATCAGGTTCTCGATCCGATCAAGCTCCCGAACCAATCAGGTTCCCGATAATCAGGTTCCCGATCCGATCAGGTTATCGAACCAATCAGGTTCCCGATCCGGTTCCAGATCATATCAGGTACTGATTTGACTTCTCCCCTAGCGCTCTCCCTCCCCCCTTTCCTCTCCCTTGCTCCCCTTTCCTTCCTCTCTCCCTTTACGATCCCTTACCCACCTCCCTTTCTCTCCCTCCCCCTCTCTCTCCCTCCCTTTCTTTCTCTCTCTCTGATTCTCACTCCCTCCCTCTCCCTCTCTCCCTCTCTCTCTCTCTCACTCTCCACTCTCCACGCGGAACGCGATGATGGAAGGTGCGCCCTGATCACAATCCGGTGCGCCTATCAGGCACTGGGCCCCGTTATGAATCACCCTTTGGATTCCTCTCCTACTTCCCTTCTTTTCCTCTTTTCTCTCTCTTCCCTTCTCACTCTCTTCCTCTATCGCCCTCTTTCTCTTCCTCACCCTCTCCTTTCCCCTCCCGTTCTCTCTCATTCAGATTGGCATCGGAGATGAAAATCAACTGGATCAAAACAATAGGATGGTGGTTATCTGAGGAACTTGTCCCTCAGCTTCAGGGGCTGGAGGGAGAGATGACGTGGGAGAGATCGGAGGCTCCTGACCAGACCATCAAGGATCTAAATCGGAGAGCTAGAGCCTATCTGTGGTCGGGGGCTAAGTGGAATCAAGCCTTCAAGTCTCTACCAGGAAGGGCATTCATTAATCATCAACACCTCTATATTCTCAATGATGTGGTACATGGCGTCAATCTGAACCACCCCGGAGTCCGGACCAGACCATCAAGGATCTAAATCGGAGAGCTAGAGCCTATCTGTGGTCGGGGGATCCTAACAAAGAAAAGTATAAACTAAAGATAGCTTGGCCGTGTTGGCACTATATTACAAGGAAACCGGCCTCTGGTGGTTTGGGGTTAATCGTCGACCCCAGGCAAGAAACTAACGCTCTCCTAAGCAAATGGGGAGTCAAACTGGCGTCAGTGGCGTGGAACAGACCGGCACAGGATAGCAATAGGAGCATAACTCCGACGGAATGTCCCACTAACATGCCGAGCCTGTTATGAACAAGGATTGGAGTCCGAGAACAGGCAAGAGAAGAAAAGGGAGAGATGCATACCCCCAAGTCAAGACCAGACACCAGCAAACTACCAATATCAATCTTCGAATACACCGTCAACCTACCCCCTTCCCCCAAATAGAACGTACGGTCATTGTGGCTGTATCTAGACTGAATGCTGGCCCCCAAAATGCATCTAGAATGACCGTACCTTCTACTCGGGCGAAGAGGGTAGGGTACGACTCGTACACGATGTTTCTAAAGACGAAGAACCCAGAACCGATTACCAAGGGAAGATGCAGCCACTGCTACCGTCTTCACCCGAATAGAACGCCCGGTCATTATTGCTGCATCTGGACCGACAGTTGTGCCACTATATCTTCAACCTTCCTGCCAGCTTACGCTATGGCGCTTGCCATGCCATTTGCGCAGCACTAAGAGGCGGCAAAAGTTGCTTCGCTTGTAGTCTCTGAGGCTCCTCTTCAATAAAACTATGGCGAGCCTGCTGATTGATTGACCAATGAATTTGGAACTTCCAACAATACAGCTATAATGACCGGGCGTTCTATTCGGGTGAAGACAGTAACCGGCTCTGAATCAGCCCTGAATCGGACCATCCGTTTAGCTAATCGGCTCTGAATCGGCTCTGAATCGGCTCTGAATCGGCTCTGAATCAGCTCTGTCCGTTTAGCTGATCGGCTCTGAATCAGCTCTGAATCAGACCGTCATTCAAGATGCAGCCACCGCTAATCGGCTCTGAATCAGACCGCCATTCAAGATGCAGCCACGACTAATCAGCTCTGAATCAGACCAGATCTCAAAGGTTCCATGGAAAAATCTAAAACAATAACACCAGTTAAAATCAAAAGAAAAGAAGGGGAAAAAAAAGAAGAAGAAAAAAAAAAAAAACACAGTGGCTCATAACATATGCTGGCCTACCGGTAAATCAGTGGCTGCAGGTTAGAGCAAAGAAAAAATAATAAAAAATATTTGAATAGCCCCGACATCTGCATCGTATGCTCCGACCAGGAACAGGACGGCATGATACATTGCTTAATCAATTGCAAAGAATCCACAGAATATTGCGCAGGAGCAACAAGACTATGGGATAGCCTTTTCTCATCTCCCCTTCCCAGAACACCCTATCCAACTGCTCTTCTGAACTACCGTCTTCACCCGAATAGAACGCCCGGTCATTATAATTGTATCTGGTGCAATTTCAGTCCAGACACAGCTATAATGACCGGGCGTTCTATTCGGGTGAAGACGGTAATTTACCCCCTGACCTTAGCAAAACTCAAAAAATCTGATTTGGAAATGATCCGCAATGTCACACACTCTGGCCCAGTCTCTCAGGATCCCAAACAGCTCGGCGGGGCGGGCGCTGTGGAAGGAAAGATGCACCGGAACTCCGGAAGGTACCCAAGAACTCGAGGGAGAAAGGTTTGAAAGCTGCTACCAAAGGGATGGTTGAACCGGATATCCATTGCCACTGTAAAAAGGCCAGACAGGGCCATGGCCCCAACAAACATTGTACTCAGAAGGTGTATCCAAGTGACGCTGGGCCCGATGTCCAGCAGGTGTCGCTCCTCACCAATAGACGGAGCAGTTCGACAGCCAGAAAAAAGCCTCAATCCCGATGGTCCTCTTACCGCCACTGTGACAGACACTTTGCCAAAGGGCCTTTCTTTACGTTTCTTCCAAAAGACAAACAAAGGCCCCAACAAACATTGTACTCAGGAGGTGTATCCGAGTGACGCTGGGCCCGATTTCCAGCAGGCGTCGCTCCCCACCAATAGACGGAGCAGCCCGACAGCCAAACAAAGCCTCAATCACGGCGGTGGTTCTCTTACCACCACTGTGACAGACGCTTTGCCGAAGGGCCTTTCTTTAT